CAGGTAAATTATCCCTCCTATATAAAGAAGGAGATGTAGCCCTAAACCCTAACTCCCATTTTCATTCCACACTCTCCTCTATTATTGCTGCTGCTCTCTCAGAGCAGCTCTATCCATCTCCTTCACGTACTAACTTGAGCGTCGGAGGCTCTACGCTGGAAACCCCTCCGGCGTTGAGTTCTTGCAGGATTTCTTACGGTCCAGTAACAGTTTGAAGGTGACAACGACAGATCTAAGCCCATTCTCATTGGTTCGTTCTAGATCTGAGCCCATTTTCATCGGTTCGCTCCAGATCTGGGAAGAGACCCATCATCTTTCATACTTTTCCTTTTGCTCGTACATCTCCTCCAAATATTCTTGCTCCGAAGGGGTTAATTCCCTCTCAAAACTTTTGAGGTATTCGAGATCCTCCCAATCCAATTCAACTAATGGTGGGTAAGACATTCTTTTTTTTTTTTGACTCTATAAATTCAAAAAAATTCGAATCAAAACAATAATTCAAATAACAAAGAGTAATTCGGCCCCTCAACAAAAGGTAATAACCAAACAAAAATCAAACAAAGGACTAGATGATACTTTTTTATATAAGACTTACGAAAATAAATGAAAAATTCGTACAAGAAATTCAAAAATTTCGAACCAAAAAAAGAATAAAAATTCGGCCCCTCAGCAAAAGGCAAAACCGAAAAAAAATAAAAGATAGATAGATAAAAATACGATCAGCACCTCTCAATGAAAGCACCAATGATGACGGATCATATTTTTACTCTATTTCGGGTTGTGAATAATCACGCACTCAGGGCGTTTGATTACTCACGATAGGTGTATCTAGTAGACGCACTCAGGGCCTTCTCCTAGACACTGTGACTTCAAGACGCACTAATGGTCTTTTCTCCGACACTGTATGTAAACACGCACTAACGGCCTTGTTTATCACACGTTAGAACATAAGTTTTCCTCCCAATTGGCTCATCAATTCAATACTCAATTCAAGACTTCTCATAATGATGAGGTAAATGGGGTATTTATAGTTACAAAATAAATCTAAGCCTAATATATCTAGATCTCCTAAACCATGCAATGAAATAAATCCTAATGCTAGTAAATCTCCTAACATCTTCTACTACTACTAAATAAAAGCAACATAGAAATAAAATCCTACTACTACCAAAATACTAATTGTCTTGACTTGCACTCCAAGCATAACTTAAAGCTCAAGTCTTTCTTGACTTGCACTCCAAGCATAACTTGAAGCTCAGGTTGCTGCCTCACTTCTCACCCTACGCATCGCACGCGTCTTAGTCCTTTCCGAGCGCGGCTTCACGCGCGCGCGCCTCATCGCCCATCTCGCCTTGTCCCGCGCGGACTAGGCTCTCGCTCGCCTGCCCAGCACGCTGTAACGCCCCGCACTAACTGACCCGCGCAGACTCAGGCCATCCCACGCACACGCCAGCACAGAGCACGCACGCACGGGACTGTCCGACCTTTTGATGACTTAGGTTGCACCATGTCTAAGTCTTGTACATAGTGGCCTTTGTAGAGGCTAAGTATTATCTAGGAGCTTCTAGAGAGTCCTAGAGCCATGTAGATAATTGTAGTAGGGACATGAAGGGACTAGGGCCTTGTAGAAGGTTCTAGGACTTGTGTGTATAAAGTAGGATTTTTGTGGAAGAGTCTAGAACCCTCAAGACCCTTGTAGGATCTAGATGGTTCCTTAGAGGAGATGGAGCCTATAAATAGGAGGGGCCCCCTCATTTGCAAAGCATCCAAGCAACAACCAAGCTCTCTTGTACAAAGTTTGTTTGAATAATAGTACAAGCTTTCCTTATAATCTCTCTTACATATCTTTGCCATATTCTCTAGCCAAGTACTAGCACCCACCGAGCACGATCCGAGCACGAGTGAGGCTAACTTAGCTAGCTGCGAAGGGCGCACGAGAGGCTAAGGCCGCATGCTATCAAGGTTCGGAGAAACAAGGGCGTGACAAGTGGTATCAGAGCCACGCTCGGTACCGTGTAAAGTATGGCCGGAGATAAGGAGCAAGACGCATCCGGGTCGGGGGTGAGCGAGGAGCAAACCCGAGGGCGGGAGTAGACCACCACGACCAAGGACAAGAAGCGGCGGGACCAAAGCTCAGCTCGCTCTGAGGTCTCGTCATTAGAGACGACCGTCGGAGAGATGGGCGAGAGGCTCGAAAGGGTTGATTACACCTTCAAGATATTGGAGACGTTCGTCTTGGAGGAGTTCGAGTCCGTCAAAGACACCATCAACGATGGGCTCGATGCACGTAGCGCCATTGAGAACCGCTTGGATCACTTGGAGGGCCTTATAAAGGTGATCCACGAGCGCATCGAGGGGATGCACGAGGACATCACTGTCTGCAAGAAGGCAATTGCTAGTGCGGAAACTAGCAGCACCACACCATCCCCAAGGGTGAAGTGCCCAGATCCAATAGGCTACAATGGTGTGAGGGACGCCAAAGAAGTTGAAAACTTCTTGTGGAGAATGCAACAATATTTCGAGGGCATCAACCTTATCGACGAGGCAACCAAGGTAAAGACTGCTTCCCTTTACCTTTCTGATACTGCTATGTTATGGTGGCGCCGGAAGCAAGGCGACATTGAACGAGGTACATGTCGGATAGACACTTGGAGCGACTTTGTCAAGGAGCTCAAGCGACAATTCTATCCGGAGAACGTAGTGTATGAGGCCCGACACAAGTTAAGGGAACTGAAGCAAAAGGGCTCTATGAGGGACTATGTCAAAGACTTCACTACCCTCTTGCTTTAGATCCCTAACATGACCGAGGATGACTCGCTATTCTTTTTCGTGGACGGGCTTCAACACTGGGCCAAGCAAGAGCTACAACGTCGGGGCGTCAAAACTGTCGACGACGCTATTGTCGCCGCAGAGTCTCTCATCGAGTTTCGCCCATCGTCATCTTCCGATGCCACCAAGAAGGACAAGAAGTACCCCACTAAAGGTGGGGGAGACAAGAAGGACAACAAGGTCCGAGACTCCCGAGACCACCGACGTGCAACTGACAAGGAGGATCGCAACTCGGGACGTCGGAACTATGAGGAGAAGAAGCAAGCGTTCGTCCCAAAAGGGGGCTGCTATTAGTACAAGGGTCCACATGCCATGAAGGACTGGCCGAAGTAAGGTTCCCTCTCTGCAATCGTGGAACAACACGAGTCTGAGAAGAAGGAAGAAGAACCAACAGTGATGGGGTCACTGCAGGTCCTAAACGCCCTCAAAGCCAGACCCGAGTGCACCAAGAATAGCAAGGGGCTTAAGTACGTGGAGGCACAAGTTAACGGGAAGCCGACGAAGGCCCTGGTGGACACAGGAGCCAGTCATAATTTCATCACCAAGGAGGAGGCCATAAGGTTGGGTCTATCTTGGACCGAAAAAGCCGGATGGTTAAAAACGGTCAATGCTAATGCTCGTCGACTAGAGGGAGCTGCGAGCAATGTGGAGCTACGCTTGGGGACATGGCAGGGACGCGTGAATTATTCAGTCGCACCTATGGACGACTTCAAAGTGGTACTTGGCATGGACTTCCTGCGACAGGTAACAACAATCCCTATGCCTTCCTTTAGTACCGTTTGTATCTTAGAAAAGGGTTCCCCATGTATGGTTCCAACAATAGAAGGAGACAGCGGGAGTCCCAGCAAACAACTCTCCGTAATGCAACTTGCCAAGGGGCAAAACGAGGTGAACCCACATACGTAGCTGTGCTAAAGGAAGACAACTCAGAGGGGAATTTCCCAAAAGTACCCGACATCATTCAAAGAGTCCTTGAGGAAAACAAAGACGTTATGCCAGCAGAGCTGCCGAGCAAGATACCACCCAGGCGAGGTGTGTGATCACAAAATTGAACTAGAACCAGGCACCAAGCCGCCTGCCATGGCCCCATACCGTATGTCACCACCCGAGCTTGAGGAACTAAGGAGGCAACTTAAGGAGCTCGTGGAGACAGGGAAGATCCGACCGAGCAAGGCACCATATGGCGCGCCCGTACTTTTTCAAAAGAAACATGACGGGACACTACACATGTGCGTAGACTATCGGGCGCTTAACAAGGTAACAGTTAAGAATCTTTATCCCATCCCTTTGATTGCTGATTTATTCGATTGACTTAGAGGAGCCCGAGTGTACACCAAGATGGATTTACAAAAGGGTTACTACCAAGTCCGCATCGCCGAAGGGGATGAACCCAAGACCACGTGCATCACGAGGTATGGGTCATACGAATGGTTAGTGATGCCCTTTGGGCTCACTAACGCCCCAGCCACATTTTGCACGCTCATGAATGAGATCTTTCATCCATACTTGGATCAGTTCGTAGTGGTTTACTTGGATGACATCGTTGTCTATAACAACACACTGGAGGAGCACGCCGACCACCTACGTACTGTATTCAAGGTAATTCGGGACAATGAGCTTTATGTGAAGGAGTCCAAACGAATTTTCGCCCAAGAGAAGTAGACTTCTTGGGACATATCATTGGCCATGGACAAATCAGAATTGACGGGGAAAAAGTAAAGGCGATCATGGAGTGGGAAGCGCCAACAAAGGTAACCGAATTACGATCCTTCTTAGGGCTGGTCAACTGTTATCGCCGATTCATACAGGGCTATTCATCAAGGGCAGCACCTCTCACTAACCTGCTTAAGAAGGGTAAGCCGTGGGTATGGTCCGACGAGTGCCAACGAGCCTTTGACGACCTCAAGGTCGCAATGAGCCAGGAACCTGTCTTAGCATTACCTGACTTCACCAAACCCTTCGAGGTTCACACAGATGCCTCTGACTTTGCTATTAGGGGAGTACTAATGCAAGAGCGACACCCTATAGCGTTCGACAGCCGAAAGATGAATGATACCGAGCGACACTACACGGTGCAAGAGAAGGAGATGACAACCATCATCCACTGCTTGAGGGTATGGCGTCACTATTTGCTAGGGACACATTTTAGCATCAAGACGGACAACGTGGCCACTAACTATTTCCAAACCCAAAAGAAGCTTTCCCCAAAGCAAGCCCGATGGCAAGATTTTCTAGCGGAGTTCGACATTGGAGTATAAGCCGGGTAAAGCCAACGTAGTGGCAGATGCATTAAGCTGAAAGCTGAACTTGCCGCCATCAGCAAAGCTGACAGGGATGTGCTCTCCCGTATCCGAGAAGGACTCGAACGGGACCCCGTAACCAAGGCTCTAATGGGCCTTGCTAAGGAAGGGAAAACCCAACGCTTTTCGGTAGAGGACGGTCTTCTCTACACAAAAAGGCGACGTTTGTACGTGCCAAAGTGGGACGGCATAAGGCGAGACCTCTTGAAGGAATGCCATGACACTAAGTGGGCCGGTCACCCGGGCCAACGGAGAACAGTGGCATTGCTCGAGTCCATCTATTTTTGGCCACAACTCAAGGACGATGTGAAGACATATGTCAGAACTTGTCTTGTTTGCCAACAAGATAAGATCGAGAACAAGCGCCTGGCGGGACTTCTAGAGCCACTACCTATACCCGTAGGACCGTGGGACTCTATCACATTGAACTTTATTAGCGCGTTGCCACAGTCTGAGGGATACGGATTGATCATGGTCGTCATAGACTGATTTTCCAAGTACGGAACATTCATTTCGTGCACCAAAGATTGTACCGCCGAGGAGGCCGCCCGCGGATTTTTCAAGAACGTAGTCAAGCATTGGGGACTACCTAGGAGCATTATTAGTGACCGAGACTCGAGGTTCACGGGGAGACTTTGGACCGAACTTTTCAAGCTCCTAGGGACCAAGCTCAATTTCTCAACAAGTTTTCACCCCCAAACTGACGGGCAAAATGAGAGGCCAATGCACTTCTCGAATGCTATTTGAGGCACTTTGTAAGTGCAAATCAACGGGACTGGCCAAATTACTTGATGTGGCCCAATTTTCATATAATTTGCAGAAGAGTGAATCGACTGGGCAAAGCCCATTTGAAGTGGTCACGGGACAACAACCGTTAACACCACACACAATCTCCCTACCTAGCAAGGAAGGGAAGAGCCCCGGTGCCGAAAAGATGACCAAGACTTGGGAGAAACAAGCCGACTTAGCACGATCATACTTAGAGAAGGCCCGTAGAAGAATGAAGAAGTGGGCCGACAAAAAGAGAAGGCCAAGAGAGTTCTCCCAAGGAGACTTAGTCCTTGTGAAGCTATTGCCCCAACAGTTCAAGACCTTTCGAAGCTTGCACAAGGGACTAATACGAAGGTACGAGGGACCATACCTGGTGATCAAGAAGATAGGCAACGGAGCATACCAGGTCGATCCACCTCCATCCCTAAAAATCCATCCCGTCTTCCACGTAAGTATGTTGAAGCCTTATAAAGGGGACATGGAAGACTCAAGCCGAGGGTTATCATCAAGGGCACCGCCGATCACCACCAAGTCATTCAACAAAGAATTGGAAGCGGTGCTCACATCCGACATAGTCAGGCGTCAAGGAGTGCCACCAAAACACGATACTTAATCAAGTGGAAGGGCCTCCCCGATTCAGAAACCTCTTGGGAGTTCGTGGAAGACTTATGGCAATTCAAGGATATCAACGAATGATACAAGGCGACGGGGACACCGCCACAACAGGTGGGGGAGAATGTAACGCCCCGCACTAACTGACCCGCACAGACTCAAGCCATCCCGCGAGCACGCCAGCACAGAGCACGCACGCACGCACGCATCCAGCAAGCGCACGCACGGGACTGTCCGACCTTTTGATGACTTAGCATAGTGGCCTTTGTAGAGGCTAAGTATTATCTAGGAGCTTCTAAAGATTCCTAGAGTCATGTAGATAATTGTAGTAGGGACATGACGGGACTAGGGCCTTGTAGAAGGTTCTAGGACTTGTGTGTATAAAGTAGGATTTTTGTGGAAGGGTCTAGAACCCTCAAGACCCTTGTAGGATCTAGATGGTTCCTTAGAGGAGGTGGAGCCTATAAATAGGAGAGGCCCCCTCATTTGCAAAGCATCCAAGCAACAACCAAACTCTCTTGTATAAAGTTTGTCTGAATAATAGTACAAGCTTTCCTTACAATCTCTCTTACATATCTTTGCCATATTCTCTAGCCAAGTACTAGCACCCACCGAGCACGATACGAGCACGAGTGAGGCTGACTTAGCTAGCTACGAAGGGCGTACGAGGGGCTAAGGCCGCACGCTATCAAGGTTCGGAGAAACAAGGGCGTGACAACGCGCCCCGCTACCTTGCGCTGCACGCCCGCCGCCTAACTCCCGTGTGTGATCGCCTACACCTGCTACTCCTACTCCTGCTCGGATTAGGCCACCGCCCGCGCTGCTGCTCCACTCGCGCGCCAATGCACACACTTCGTTGTTGCTGCCCAACTGCCATGCGTCCTCGCCACCTGCGCAAGTGCCACGCACCTCCCTCATGTCCGTGCCACCCATGTTGTCGTCCCGCGCCCCGTGCGTCGCCTCCAGCGCCCATGCGTCCCGATCTTCTACCACGCACCCGCGTACGCCCGTGATACGGAAGTGGGTATCGACCATCAATGATGAGAAAGGCCGAGGGCCGAGGCTAATGGACAAGGCCAAGCAAAGGGCGCAAACAAGGCTTGCATGGCCTAGGAGACGTGCACGAGACCGTATACGAGGGTTCCGACATGCACAATGGCATAGAAGGTCGAGCAAGAAGCTCGGGAGATCAAGGCTTGAAGGGTCGAGCACATGGATGTGCGCATGGGCACACGAGAAGGCAGTCCATCGGCGTGCAACATTAGGGCAATGGAGGAAAGACTACGCACAGTGGACCAGGGTCGAGTGTACGATAGCGAGCTCTGGCGATGCGGTCAACTGGTGCAAGGCATGCGCGAGGGAGCAACGCGAACGACGCTTGGAGGCTAAGGCCTCAGGCATTCACTTTACGGAGGAGACGAGCGGTGCGTGAGGGGAGGATGTTGTGTGGACAACGCGCACGTGGGACGACCGCAAGGAAGGGCGCGAACACGCGCATTGGCGTAGACGCACGCAG